CAGACCTTACAGAAAGAGAAAGCCTTCCCCAAGAGCCAGCACCCAGAATTCAGACTTTTAAGTTTAATCTCCTAAACTGTGAGAAAATAGATTTCTGTGTGTTAAAGCCATCTACTTGTGGTATTTCTGTTATAGCAGCACTAGAGGACTAAGACATAGACCATCTGTCTTCAGAGATGTAAAGCTTTCTTGAAAAGTGTAAGATGAATGGTCAATCATTAGAACAAGTGTTATTTTTAAAAGGATGAAATAATAGAGCACTATGGTTTAAGATGTTAAAATACATCCTGCATACTAATGGATATTTTTTCTTCTTTTTTTTTTACAGACATACATTGGCAGTGTGGTTATATCCGTTAACCCATACCGGTCATTGCCCATTTATTCCCCAGAGAAAGTGGAAGATTACAGGAATAGAAATTTTTATGAACTGAGCCCTCACATGTAAGTACAGTATTAAAGCATTAAGTTTCTCTTTCACTCCAGAGATGTGTAGTTGACAGATGTGTCCAGCTGTCTCCTTTGAGGAAAATGTTTTTGTTAGTTTCTTTCTTTCTTTTTTTTCAGTCAGAACATAGAAGTTAATTGTTACCCTTATTTTAAATTTAAAAAAAAAAAGAATAATACTTCATTTGGTGTCAGACTTTTCTAAGTCCTGAAATATTTGGGTTTAGTGTGTAAGATATTTTCTGTTAAAAATTCTGTGTAAGTAGCAGCTGTTGCTAATTATTTTTGCAAGTAAAACAGCAATGTGTATTGTTTATTATTAGGAAGATCCCAAGCAGCGTTTTCATAGTCTCGTTAGTCTGCAAAGGATCCCAAGTCTGGAGTTGTATAATGGTGTTTGGGTAAAAGGAATAAATAATACCTTTTGTTTATCATCTCTGTGGACATTGTTTACCAGATGTGTGTGATAAGCCAGTAATTTCCCCTTCTCTGAAGTTGGCCAGTTGTTTGATTTCTCTGAAGAAGGTCGCTTATTAGTATAAATAATTCCTTCACAGTGTTT